AGCGTGTCAAGGCGACCCAGGGAGGCTCGAAGATGGCCCCGTACGTCGAAAGATCTTTCCAAGGCGCCCAAGACGGTCTCCAGACGGCCCTCGAGGCCGCCAAGAAGCCCCAAGAGAGCCTCAAGAGGCTCTCCAAGAGGGCCCCAACAAGCAAAGCATCGTCCCATTCCTTCTGGAAAACGTGTGATTTCGCATGTGCGACGTTGAGGGATCACCGCGTCCGGAACTGCCCCAGGGGCCTCCAACATCGCCCCCAGAGGCCCAACACGCCCCCGAGATGGGCCCAAGGGAGCCCAAGAGGGCCCCCAAACTCGGGTCGGGCGAAAGGGGGGGATAGCAAAGGGGGGGGTAGCTGAGGAGGCGGCTATGTATCGAGGAATGGGCCCCTCGGTGAGGCCGAAACCAGCTGCATGCAGCAAATTTCGTAACCCCCCCTTTCCCAATCCCCCCCTTTCGCCCGACCCGACAAACAGCCCCAGAAGCGCCCAAGATCGCCCAAGAGGGCCCCAAGACGGCCCCAAGAGAGGCCACGAGGGGGAACACGAACCATCCATTCGAGCCTGCCACCCCAAGAGGCCCCCCCGAGGAGGACCCCAGGGGAGCCCAGGCGGCCCCCCTGGATGGAGGCCCCACGGGGCTCCCGAGATCCCCGCAAAGAGGCCCCAAGACCCCAAGAGGCCCCACGAAGCGATTAAATAAAACTCGGAATCGAGTCGGATTGGGTCGGCCGGAATCGACCTCGAAGTGGATCGATTGAATCTGCACGGACCCTGCGAGCCTGGCCGTATGGCAGGCTCATGCCGCGACGGCTCTGGAGAAATCAAGAGGTACCGATGCCGCTGCCCCTGAGACCTCTCCTGGGGCACGGTCTGACCAGAATCTCGAAGCGAATCCAGCGGTGGCGACGAGGGCCTCCCAGGAGAGCGACACATGGGAAAACGGACGCACGACAGCGGCATGGGTACCTGTGGAGGGACAAGAACTATGCACAGACACCGATTCTGGTCAGGCCCATCCTGAGCCCAGGATCGGTGCATACGCCCTCCGACCTTGGCCAGGAAGGTATATGTACCGATCCTGGGTCAAGGATGGGCGTTGTCAGGATCGGTGCATGTGCATACAGGGCAGTGTTTGATACATCGGATGTGTTTTAACCTAGAATTTGTTTAAAGCATGATTGATTTAGGAATACATGTGTGCATGAACTCATCGTCGTTTTTAATACTAAATCCCTGCGTGTTCTTAATGCATGATCCGCACGCGGAGCATGTGGTTAAACGACACTGTACTTCTCGGGGATCTTCTGACCCGGGTCAATCCAGACCCGGGTCCGCAGGAAACCAAAAACTGCAATGCAGGAAAAAAAAAAACTGCTACGCAGGTCTTCGCAAACCCGGGTCAGCCAATATGCGCGGCCGCCTCGCGGCCACGAGCGGCTCCCTGACCCGGGTCAGCCAGAGGGGGTCTTCGCAGGATCCTGCAGGATCCGGTGCCGTGGCTGACCCCCGTCTGCACTGACCCCCGTCTCGAGGCTCCCGAAGTTCTTTTCGCCCGAAGCTTCCGGCACCGCACGGGCGCGCTGCGGCGCCGAGCGAGCTCCAAAACGCCGGGGGCCCCCACGGGGGGCCGCCGCGGGAGGATCCCTCGGCCCCGCGCCGCCCGCGCTATAATTAGCGCTGCCCACGCGTCGGCGCGCGGCGGGGGGCCCGCCGCGGGCCCAAAAAGTCGGCCCCGCGGCCTCGCTTTGAGAGCGCTTCGACCGTGACTGAAGGGAAACTGGGACACACAAATAAATACACACAAATAAACAGATTCCTCATATTTTCCCACATCTTCTGGGTTTTTGTCTTCCCCCCCACTTCCCATATTTTCCCATATTTTCCGGGGAATCGTCGATTAATTGTGTCTGTGTGTTTCTTTCCCTCCTGAGTGACTCCGTCGCGAATCCAGCTGTGATGGCGAGGGCCCGCCTGGAGGCTCCCCCCCCCCCCCGCAGATCGAGAAGCACCGCGAGGGCCGTTTGCTTCTCCCCCGAATGCCGCGGTCGTGCTCCGCGAGAGGGGGGTTCGGGAAGGGCGGCCGCGGCGCGCACCCGCCGAGGTTCGTCGAAGCCACTGGCGCATCAATCGCCTAATCAGGAGGAGGGAAGAGGAGGAGGAGGAGGAAGAGGAGGATGAGGGGGAGACGGAGGATGAGGAGGAGGAGGAGGAGGAGGAGGAGGGGGAGGAGGGGGAGAGTAGGAGAGGAGAAGGAGGAGGAGGAGGAGAAGAAGGAGGAGGCCATACAAGGGGGGGCCCAGGCGCCACCGCCTCCCATACGATCGTTAGCGTTACCGTTTTTTGGGGCCCGGGTGACGAGAGTGACCAGGAGGGGGAACAACAAATGTTCACCAGGCACGCACCGAGCCCACCAAATTCAACTGGTTGAGCATTGTTTGACCGATCCCTATTCCCACTCGTGTGGCCTGGGCCCCACTGGCAGGTTTTCCACTCTAGGTGGGGATAGATGTAGTTTCTGTCAGAGCTCGAAGGGTATATCCCCAGCTGGGGGGATGAGATGGTGGGGGTCTGGATGGCGATGGGGATGGGGATGGGGATGGGTTAAACAATACTGACTGGTTAGGGCGAAGTGGGGAGGGGGATTCTCGCTTGGATCTGCATAAGGAGGCACTCCGCTGGACGTCCAAGGACCGGGAAAGGTGACGACAATTGCGCGTCTGGCGGCACACTTGGCGGGCGAGGCGCAGTCTGGCTCCCGCTTCGCAGCACCCAAAGGACCGAGGTCTGGTTTCGCTGTGCGTGCGGCCGCATCCGCTGAAACTGACAAAGGGCGCAACAAACTGGTGACAGCAGGAGCCTGCCAATCCGTTGGTGGGAGGTCCAGTGTGGGAGTACGGGTGTAAGTGCGGCCGCACTTCGCTGGAACCTCCTGGTGGGCGAAAGAGATGAGGGAGTCGAAGTCGAATCCGGGTCCGCGTAAGACCTCACTCCGTTGCAACCCGCTCCGAGGGGCGCAGGATAGTGGCGACGGTTGCACGCCTGGCAGCACCCAGCGAAGCGAGGTCGAGCTTGGGTCTGTGAACCATCGTACTCCGCCACCCGCCCGCCAGGGTCGCAGGGAAGTGGCGACAAATGCACGGGTGGCAGCACCCAGCGAGGCAAGGTCCAGCTTGGGGTCTGCGTAGAAATATGTCGTTGGACTCCCATCCGGGGGAAAGGGCGAGGTATACTCGGGGTATGCGTTGGACCATAGTCCGCCAGCCTCTGCCCAAGGGGGCAGGAAAGTGACTGCCATTGCACTCTCTTCGGCACCCACGGATGGGACATCTTGTTTGGCTCTGTGTGAGATTACACTCCGCTGCCCCCTCCTCCAGGCATGCAAGACCGTGGCGAAGAATTGGAGGTTGTGAGACCGGCGAATACTGTCGAGTCTGATTGGAGAGGACACGCGAAAGCACACTAGACCCTGCCGAGGGCCACATTGCCCCAAACTGCAGGAGGACATGAGGTGCGAAACACAGGACACGAGAGTGCCCTTGATTCGGAAGGGTAGTCTTACTAATCAAACTCAGCAGTGTGAAGATAGGAAGAGACAAAGAGAGAGAGAGAGAGAAAGATAGAGAGAGCACTCAGCGAGAGAAGAACACATCGCCGAAAGATATGCAGCACATCTCTGCCTCAGTATGGAGCGCGGACGCCGCGCGAGTGAGTTCGAACACGTTGTGGGCCACTCTGGCCCTCGAGAATACGCAACTGCGGCACGCAGGAGCGATACCTTTTTACATATATTTATAGATGTAAACATAAATAAATATATACACATATGTGTATGTACATAAATATGGAGAGAGGGAGAGCGAGAGAGAGAGAGAGAGCGAGAGAGAGAGAGAGGGAGAGAGAACAAAGATAACGATAGAGAGAGAGAGAGACAAAAAGAACGAGAGAGAGAGAGAGAGGAAGAGAGAGCGTGAAGGCGGTGGGGCACTTCTCTGTGGGGCGAAGGGGGGGACAGGCCGGAAGGAGGACGGACACAGGGGTAACCGCATCAGGACAACAGAACAGAACCCCCCCCACATCGGAAACTGATTATCTTTTCGATGCCCCCATTCATGGTCCAGGGTCCCACCACTCGTGGAAACTTATGATTTCTCCGCGGCGCCCGCCGCGCTGCAACGACGACGATGGATGAGATGAAGGGGGATATTGTGAGCAACGCCTTCGGCGAAGAATGTGTCGATCTGGATTCCATTCCTTTCACAAGCGTGCTCAACACTCCACTGTCCCACAGGGCAGCCCAGGCAGCAGTATTCCAAGGGGGAGAGAACCCCCCCAGCAATATCCCGCCAGCCAAGCAATAGAGGGGAACCAGTCTCCGCCGCGACGACGACGATGATTACCACTACGACTACGACTACGCCACCGACTACAATCACGACTACGACTATGCCTACAATAACAATTACAGTGACGATTACAACCACGACTACAACCACAACCACATACTCTTGTTGCTACCATCATGCAAAGATGCTCAACCAATCTCGGGAGAAAGAGCTCCCAACATTATCTGGCCCGCCCCGCAGCAGACGGAAAATAATCTCCGCCTTGACGACGACACCGACGACGACTACGAGAACGACCACGAGGAGAAGCAGGAGGAGGGGGCGTGAGGAGGAGGAGGAGCAGGAGGAAGGGGAGGGACGAGTGTGTTTCCCGCAGGGAGACACAGGGGGGGATGCAAACCTTAAAACCTCCAGCGTAACCATTTTTGGTTCGGAGGGGTCGCGCCCCATGTCAAACCCGACAGTATACACACGTGTATGTACACACATCTATACATACGTATATTCATTATGAAAACACATACAGGGAGAGAGGGAGGACAAGAAAAAAGGGAGGCCCGATGGAGGAGCAACAGATATGCGATCCGACACGCGCACCCAATCACGAAGAAGGTCGGGACCCACAACCGGGGCAAGCGGGAGGATGACGAGCCGGGGCCTCGGTCAGCTCGCTCTCGATCGTCTCGTTGGTCCCCGTGGCCAGGTCGATCACCTCGGCCGCAGCCCGGCGGCGCTGGGCGCGGAGGCGACTCCCGTAGGAGCTCGACCAGAAGAAATCTTTCACAAGGAGCCCAACCCTGAGACCCTAGGACGTCCACCGATGTTTGGTATAGGAACGTCACGCGCTCCACAGCAACACTACCCATCGGTCGGAAGAAGTAGGTAGAAACATGAAGTAGGAAGGCGTTGGAAATAGGTTGGGTTTCCGCCCCGCCTCCTGACGAGGAGGGAAGAGGGAAAACCACTCGACTCTTGAAGCAGGAAGGCACTGAAAGTAGATTGGAATCTGGGAATCCAAAGATACCTACCTTTCAACGACCGATGGGCATCGAAGCCCAGGGCACCCAGGGCGCTCTGGAGGCCAGCGGGGTGCATCTTGGCATGGGCCTCCGCTGTCGGGGATGGACAGACCCCCCTTTAGCAAAACGTGGTTTGGTGAAAACGACCTGAGGCCCAAACCTGGCGGGCGCAAGCCTGGAAAATAACGGCCACGACGCCCTCTCGAGAACCGAAAACGGACGATTCACTAATCGACGTGTCACTGTTGGGGGTTCTGGCCACCCCCGACGCTGCCGCAGGGAAGGACGAGGAGAGGCCGCTCGCTCGCCGCGCGCCTCGCGCGCGGCTCGTGGTCTCCCTCGCGCGGGCCGTTCGTGGGCGCAGGCCACGCGCACCCAGGCATCGCCGCCTCCGCGCGCTCGCGGGTGCCCAGCGCGACGCCGCGTGCCCTGCGCGCTGTTCCTCGCGCCCCTCCTCCTCCCCCTCCTCCTCCTCATCCTCCTCCTCCTCCTCCTCCTCCTCCTCATCCTCCCTCCTCCCCCTCCCCCTAGGCCCTCGCCCTCCCCCTCCCCCTCCCCCTCCTCCTCCTCCTCCTCCTCATCCTCCTCCTCCTCCTCCTCCTCCTCCTCCTCCTTCTCATCCTCTGGGGCGAGGGGACGGCGTGCTCGGGCAGCAGGAGGTCCGCGGAAGCAGGGCCGTGCCGGCCGCGAGTCTCCCCCCGTACCTGCCCCCCTTCCTCTCACGTATCCCCTCTCCCGGAGCGGGCAGCGGACGCACTCGTGAGGGGCCACGATAAGGGGGGGGGATGGGCGCTTGGGGGGGATTGCGTCGACCTGGAATCGGCGATGCATCGTCGATAGATCGGAGATGGGCCTCCGATAGTGAATCCGCACCTTCCTGGGCAGGTTGGGGCTATGGAGCCCCTATCAGCGATCAACGGGCGATTGGGGGTCGATACATCCCCCCTATGCCTATCCCCCCCTATCGTTGCCACTGAACTCGTGCCTGCGGAGCAAGGTGGGACGAGGAGGAACCCCTGATCTCCGACGACTCTTAGGGTTAGGTCGGACATGTCCTCCTACAGGCGGATTTGGGAAGGAAAATAAAACATGGTCAACTATAGGAATCCCGGGCCCCAGGGCCCAAAACGCTTCGAACGCGGACCAAGAGTGCCGCAAGAAGCTTCCAACGGTCCAAGACGCTCCTTTCCTTTCCCCCCTCTCTCCTCGTCCTTTCGCTCCTCCTCCTCTATCCTCCTCCTCCTCCAGCCGCTTCCACCGTGGGCTCTGAAACGCCTACAATACGCTTTCAGGACCTACTTCTGCATCCCCCCGGAACGCTTCCTCCTTACCCCTGAGCGGCCGCCCGACCTGCGTGGCCGTGCACGCGAGGTCTTTCGTGCGCAACCGCTGCCCCTCCCTCCCTTCCCCATCGCCGTCCTCTTCCCCGTCCTTCGCCTCCTTCGCCTCCTCCTCCTCCTCCCGCACTTCCTCCTCCTCCTCCTCCTTTGCTTCCTCCGACAACACCTCCTTACCTTATCCATCCATGCCCTCTGCCTCCTCCTCCACGACCTCCGCCTCCTCCCCCTCCTCATCCTCCTCCTCCTCCTCCTCCTCCTCCTCCTCCTCCTCCTCCTCCTCCTCCCCCTCCTCCTTCTCCCACCCCCTCCTCCTCCCACCCCCTCACCCACCGCCACCTTGCCCTCTCCCCTCTGGCTCCACCTCCTTCTCCTCCGTCACGAAGCTGCCCCCTGTCACGAGACTTGTCTCAGAACGCGCACCTATCGCACGATCGTCCCCGAAATGGATGTTCGAGTACATGCACGCTCGAAAGACGTCCGTTCCACCAACACACACGGCGGCCCGTGAAAGAAGACGCACGCCGACGACCCGCCGCCCCCCCCCCCCTAGCAGGGTGCAGTGCTCTGCACGGCGCCATCAGCCGTCCAGAAGGCTCCCACAGTGGCCCCGCGGACCCCAAAGAGAGCCCCCCCCGTGCAGCACGAGAGAACCCCAGAGCGGCCCAGGAGGGGGCCGAGACCTTCCGGGAGGCCTCCCGGAACGACCCTCGGCGACCGCACGTGGCCCCCAGGAAGGACCCGGCAACGGTCTCCGCACGCGCGCCCCCAAACGGCCCAACCCGCCCTCCACACCGCGCCC